CTTTCCCTGGCCAGCTGTGCCAGAGCTTTTTCCTGCAGTGAGGAAAGATGCCACTGGCAGGACACTACATTGCTAAATACAGCAGTGTAACGGGAAGGAATAGCTCTCTTCACCCTCAAGCAAAGCATGTGACCACAAGGTTTAGGCCTGTCTTTAGTGATGCCTCACTGCTATAAGGGCATGTGTAGTCAGTCTCTATATGCTACCCACTGCATGTAAGTGTAACATAGATCTTCGTCACTCTTTTACATTCCTTATTCTAGACCTACTGGGTCAAATTAATCCTGTAATTGAACTTCCAGACACTCTCCTCAGTTCCAAATCCAATTTGGCACTGTAGATTGGAGACTCTAATATTCAAGCACAGATAGTTGAACACAGCTGCCATAACCCAACTGCCATGGATGGAACCTTCTGATTCCAATATTCCAGCCTCTGGCAGTTGAAATCCAACCACCAAACCACCCCGTGTATTCTATAACCTTCTGATGGAATAGATTTTTTTTTTTTTACAGTGACAGCAATGCATAAAATCTAACCTGGATCCTAACCCGTGCTTCCAGTTAATGGAACATCTACATATCCTTTGGGAAATTTTCTATGCCCTGCAATTGGTAACAAGTCAATCAGTAAGTACTAGTGCACCAGACAGTAAATATTGATGTTTAGGGTTTCCACTTCTCACATTCGTCATCTGAAAAGATGTCTGTCCCCTTCTCCTTCTTTGAGTTTGTTATTAAAGCAATCTTCATCAGAATTTCCCCAGATCCATTCAATGGTTTTCTAGCTTAAAAATAATTCTCCACATTAAATATCACAAAACATATCTCCAAAATAAGCAGTATACATTTTCTGTTATGGTTAAACAATATCCACTCTTGCTATGTAATTTATCCTGTAGTTAATAATCTACTGATCATTAAGTAGACAGTATCATCTTTTGAGGAATTATGAGGAATATATACAGGAACCCACTCTGAGACTTTCCTTAGGATTTCAGTTAAATCAGCAAAGTCACTAGAGAGATGGAGAAGTCTCTTGTGGAATTACTACTTGAGTCCAATTTCTGTGATTCACAGTTCACTCCCTGTAAAATTATCTTATTTCCCCATTTCTTATGAAGTAAAGACTTATGAAGTAATTCAGGATTCATTATATTTGAATTTGTATAATACTTCCCTTGTAATGATAGAATTCCTCCACATAGTATTAAACTTACTCAGTTTCACTGCTTATTATTACTGAGTATAATTGTCCCAATGATTTTATTAAGCTTTCACATTTTGGTTTTGCCTAGACACTTACCAGGTAAATGGCCCTTTTGCTAGGTGTTGTATAAACATCCTGTCAATCTCTGTCCTGAAGAGCTGACAATTTAATACATAATAGAACCCTTACCCCCTCAATTCTCCTGTGAGTTGTTTGCAGACTATGCTGTGAGGAATAGCTTCTGAAATAAAAATATTCTGGGACCCCTCACTTAATCTTACATCCAAGGACTGAGCAAAAGGTCTTGAGGGTATTAAAATATCCTTTCTGATTGCATAAGAGAAATGTATAATATATTATTTTAGCTTTTAACCAGCCCTTTTTTCTGAAAGCCCTGAAATGCTTATTCTGTTTAAAAAAAATTATTTCTATTTTATAGAAAGAGAAAACAAAGCACAGAAAGGTGAAGTGATTTGACAAGGGTCACACACACACATAGAGGATTCAGGAATGCTGGGTCTTAATATGGGGAGCTACAAAAGTATATTCTGTGCCTCTGAGAGCTTATGGGTATGGTATAAAAAGGTGCAAGTGAGAAAAAGAAACGTTATAGTTTTAAAGGTAAAAAAATCTAAGAATACAAACTCACTGCTAAACAAGGATGGCTCTGCTTTCTATTTTCAGATGTGGGAGGACAATCACATTTCAAAGGCAGAAGCTATTTTACAATAATTTTAGTTATATTGGATATAAAAGGACTGAAGGATTGTTTTTTTCCATCCCTTGGCATCTTGTGTACTTCACACTAGTGTAGTATAATGTGCTCTTATTTTGATTTGTTAGCACTTTACAGATGTGACAACACAAATATTTTTTTTCTCACTTCTCTTCATGCTTCTCCTGAGCTGTAAATTCATTAATCTAGATATAGCAAAAGACAATGATGGAATCTATACAAACATGACCATTATTATAATTTTTAGTTTGTATGCATTAGGGATGTAAGCGACTAGTCAACTAGTGACTCGACTAGTTACTTCCCTCGGTTAAGTTAGTTCTTTTATTTCCTTTATTAACTGCTGGTTATTATAAATCCTAGCATTTCTCTTTCCATCCTAGCCTCCTCTTGAGGTGCTAAGCCTAATTAGAGTAATCTGTACTTAATTAAACTTCAACTGGAGGGCTGTGTCTAGGACTCACCCTAAAACTGTTCTTATTTCAATTAAACCTCCAAGCCAGGGAAGAACTTTTCTCTCTGGATTGTCTGGTGCCTTTTGGGTATCTCATGCCAGCAAAAGACTAAGAGCCTGAAAACTTTGCATCCTGACTAGACTTCCTTTTGGGTGCAAATTCTTTGCTTCTACATTCTTCTCTTCCATGGAAAATTACTTGGTTAGACCTTACTAATCAGGGTGGTCACAGGTCTTCCTAAGACCACCCACTGCTTAGATTTAAAGGACAAAGGAAGCTGTTTACAGGTGATCACCCCATCATTGATATATCTGAGCATTGGAAACACCCTGATGGCTTTCATTTACTCATTTAAAACCATAAACTATTCTCTACCCTATATCTCTAATTTTACATAAAAGAGTGATACATACACCAAAATAAGATATACAGATTCAGCAGATTGTGACAGTAAATTGATGGGTTACATGAAGCAGTGTCTCCAAAGCATCTTCAAGTTAGGCATATTTGTATCCATAAAATAATTTCATAAAGCATGGGGGAGGTCCATCACAGTATTTAGCATAGAAATGCTGATCACATCCTGCATAAAAGCTTTTCCAAAACATGTTGTTAGCCAAATTTGTAGAGCTGTGCATGGATACAAATGTCTACATGCAGATGTGGATATCCATGGATAATCATTGTTGGTATCTGCTTATTTGTAAGGCTCTGCTCCCAAGAGACTCTGCAGTTAGCAAGAGGAGTGTGGTCTAATCACTCAAGGGAGCCAGATTCGTGCAGTAGCACTATCATCCACAGTCCAGCCCCCTCTTGTCTGGGTCCTACAGTCCCTCTGGGGGCAGGGCTGAGAGTGATGCAGCTGCATGTTCGGGGGGAGCTGCTGTTGTGGGACACTGGACCATGCTTACCTCTGTTGGCTGCAGTGTGCCTTGGGAGCAGAGCCTTGTAGATCAGCAGATATTGATGTCTATCCACGGATATCAGCATGTGCAGGTAGACATTTGCATCCACACAAGATTCTGCAAATATGCAAATAGCTGTTTCCATTTGTTCCTATTGTTGTCAACAAGATAAAACTGTGTTGATGCAAAATAGAAATTATAATGAAAGATTTTGTATAAAAAATATGAAGGGTAAGAAATTCAATAGGCAGATGAGGCAAGGCTTGTCAGAAGTCTCAATCAATGATAAGTCTAAAGCTATGTCCACACTAGCACTTATGTCAGTAAAAACCACCCGATTGAACAACATAAGTTTGACAGTAAAAATGCTCATGTGCACAGACACTCTCCTGCTGACATAGCTACTAACACTCATTGAACTGATTTATTATGTTGACAGGAGAGCTCTCCCCCATCAGCATAACATGGCTACATGAGAACTTTTATAGAAGCACAGCTGAATCAGTACAACTTGTAAGTGTAAACATAATCTAAGGCATAGTAACCTTCCTTGGAAAGATGTGGGATGCAACTTTAATTGCAATCACTGAACCTCCTAACTGGGAAAAATATAAATCTAGGGGCAGTGAAGCCTTTCCAAAAGTGGGGGATTAGGGACCCATACCCTTGAGAAGCCTTGTCCCACCCTTTCTTCCAATAAAAGGCCCCTTTTATTCTCCCCAAATCCCCTCCTCTTCCCCCATAGGCTTTATCCCCTTGCCAAGCCAGCAGCTTAGATGGGGCTAGGGACCCTTCTCCAATCCAGGGTGCAGTAGGGCAAAAAGCAGTCCCCTGCCTGTATTCCCTTCTTTGAGGTATCAAAGCTCCCCACACCTGTCCAGGCAGCTTTTATCCCAAATCAGAACTGCTGAGGTGCAAGGCCTCAAGTCAAAGCCCAGCGACTGTTAGACTATGTGGGCAGTTGTGGGGAGCTGGCCTGCATCACAACTGCCCAGGCTCTTGGGCTGGGCCCTTTCAGCTGATGGCTTGGCTGGGGAATGGGATTTTGCGGGGGGGAGAGGGAAGAAGAGGAGAATGGGTGGAGTCCCATGACAAAAAATGAATGGGCCAGGCCCATCCACTTTTAAAATATGGGAGAACCATGGTTCCTTGGCTCTCCCTCTTCTGGTGCCCCTACACCAGTGGTCTCCAACCTTTTCACACCGAAGATCACTTTTTAAATGTTAGAACAAGCCAAGATCTACTGCCCCATCCTTCCCCCAAGACCCTACCCCTTCCTTGAAGACCTGCCCTCTCCGTTTTCCTCATCTCCATCATTTGCTATACCTAGCCCTTACACATTCTCAGGATACAGCTACACTGCCGCTTTTTTTTATTCTTCTGTAGGAAAAGGTTTTTCCAACATTTGGACTGTCTAGACTGGGCCAAATGTCAGAAAAAAACCTTCTTTTGGAAGCCCCCTTATTCCTCGTGGAATGAGGAACACAGGGGTTACCAAAAGAGCATGTTTGTTCTTCTGCTAAAAAAAAGCAGAAGAACAAACGCTTCCCTGGACGCAGAAGAGTTTTTCCTGGGATACCTCTGGAATCCTGGAAAAGCTCCTGCAGTCTAGCCATACCCGCACTGGGTTGAGACAGGAGGTGCGGGCTCTGGGGTGGGAATGAGGAATTTGGGTGTGGGAAGGGGTGAGAGGTGCACACTCTGGGAGGGAATTTGGATGCAAGAGGAGGTGGTGAATGGGGGGAGAAGGGAACACTGGCTCGGGGAGGGGGCTCCAGGCTGGGCAGTGTTGGGATAATAAGCAAGCCACAGGCTTGTGGATGTGAGGGTACAGGAATTTGGGCTGGGATGCATGAGGGGCTCAGGGCAGGTCTGGGAGTATGATGGGCTCAGGATACAGATTTGCAGTGTGTGGCTGGTGCAGGAGTGTTGTGGCAGAAGACTGAGGATGTGGGGGTGCAGGCATTTGGGGATGTGAGAGGCTCAGGACAGGGTTCCAGTGTATGACAGGCTCGGATCTAGGGTCTGGGAGGGGGGTGGGAGGTGGAGGAGTGTTATGATGTTGTAGCCAGATATGGGTTTGGCCCCAATTGGGGGTTTATTGGCCAGCCTTAATTATTAAATCAAATATTATGTCAAACACAAAAAGTTTCAGCATTGTCTTTATTTATGAGAGGGGCGGGGAACCTGTTTTGAGTTAAGAGTCACGGACCCACAGGAAAGTCAGTTGGGGCCACTGAAGTGAGATGCAAAAAAATAACTCCTCCAAACCCCCTTTTGCCTCACTAATGTAGCTCCCAACTGTGCTAGTGGGAGCAGGGAATATGGTACTGGGGAAGGGTGCTACTGGGTGCTGGGGCAGGGTGCCAGTGGGGACAGGGTGCTGGTGTGGGGACAGGGGGCCAGTGGGGGCAGGAGACAGGGTGCTGGGTCAGAGGACAGGGTACCAGTGGGTGCTGGAGCTGGGTGCCAGTGGGAGCGGGGGACAGGGTTCTGCAGCAGGGGACAGGGTGCCAGTGGGGACAGGGGACAGGGTGTTGGTCGGGACAGGGAGTTTCAAGCATGTGCCTCCCCAGGGACTTCTAACCCCTCCACCACCTCCTCCTGTAACATCCCCCCTGCAGAGGAGGGAAGCCCTGGATACCACCTCCCCCCCAGAGGAAAGCACCAGTGCGCGCCTCCTCTGGGGACTTCTACCCCCTCCACCATCACCCACCGCAGAGGAGGGAAGCCCCAGTGCGTGCCTCTTCTGGGGACTCCTCCCCCCCCGTGCAGCAAGTCCCTGGCGTGCCACAGACCTGGGTTGCAAAATCATGCCAGCTGTTTGGGGGAGGGGGAGCAGCCAGCGAACTTACTGAAACCCTGGAAGTGGTGCGCAGCTGCCGGACTTCCTTCTATCCCGCAGAAAGCCGGCACTACCTCCATTGTCACTGGAGGTAGGTAGGGGGGCTTCTTGGGGGAGGGGAGAAATTGGGGGGCCCCGAACACCTCATGATCCACTGGTTGAGCCCTCCCAATTGACCAGTCAATCGCAATTGATGGGTTGGTGACCATGGTTCTACTCTGATCTGGTTTGTCAGAGCCATTGAAGTGTCCAAAGGCAGTGAAATATTTAAAGATTTAGTTTTTCATTTCCATCTGAAGGGGGGCTTCTTGGGGGAGGGGAGAAATTGGGGGGCCCCGAACACCTCATGATCCACTGGTTGAGCCCTCCCAATTGACCAGTCAATCGCAATTGATGGGTTGGTGACCATGGTTCTACTCTGATCTGGTTTGTCAGAGCCATTGAAGTGTCCAAAGGCAGTGAAATATTTAAAGATTTAGTTTTTCATTTCCATCTGA